TGGCGAACATGGCCACGATGACGTTAAGGGTGATTCCTAACGGGTCAAAGCGAAGGTGAGATTCGCCCGCCTGAAAGATACGATTAGATCCTGCAAAAGAAACAATACATTCTTAAAATATGTAATCTCCTCAAAATACTAAAAATGTTAATTATATCTACAACTGCATTGCAAATATTGAACTTGAGCAAAGATCTACACATATGTAACTGTATGAGTGAAAGTAGACAAAAAATTGCACTTAGGAAAGTATGATATGATGATATTTACTAATTTATTCTAACTGGTATGGTAAAATACATACCTATATTAATAGAAAAGAGGCTAATAAATTTGAGAGTTAAGGTGTCCATCTATGATGATCCATCAATCATTCATGTCTAGATGTTAGATAAATACCACTGTACCGGATTTTAAAAAAAATGTGACCGTAACTTGTAGCCAGTTATGCACCCTGAATAAATTTTTATCCAGAGTGCACTATTTTTAATGGTGTATTAAAAAAATATGTCGCTAATTATATACCAAATTCTTACCAAGTTTCTTTACGTGGACGACACAACAGTTGAAGGAATGTGCAAAACATTCAGAAAATAAGAGAAGCACTATTTCCAACAAAAGTCCAAATGTGGCCAAACACAGAAATACTGCGGTCAAAAGGAGGTCAGATAACTCGACGTGTTTCACGACTCCAAATAATCGACACGACAGGAGAACACTGCATGCAATAAAGACGATCAGCGCGCTAAAGACGGCTCCCGCCCAGGGAATAAGTTTCCTGGAAAATTTGTTGTACACCAATTTCCCAGATTTTCTGTCCCACTCGAGCGGACAGGTGTACAGGTAGGAGTACGAAGTGGCAAAATTATCTAAAGATTTCCACATGAGCGGAGTCGCCACCATGTTTAAAGTTTAAGTTTTCTTTCTTTGGCAAATTTCTCTCAGAAATTTGAGCATTAAAATTTTCGTCATCTTCAAGTTTCAATTATTTCTCACAAGTTTTCAACAGTTTTTTGACAAATTTATCTCAGAAATTTAAGACTTTTGTAACTTTGTTTAACTTTGACACGCAGAGTAACCGCAATTTCGTGTTGAAGTTTGAAACAAGTTTTTGTTCCCAGGCAGATCTTTCTCGGAAATTTAAAACGTTTATTTGATTTAAACGGTTAAAACCAGTTTTTGGTCAAATTTTCAACGGGTTTTTGCTCACGGGACAATTTTTCTCAGAAATGTAAGACCTTCGTGCATTCCTACATAAGTAAATACGTAGCTTACTGTAGCTTCGATATCTACTTTTTTTACTGGTAGTTAAAGTTCTCTCCATTCCAGACCATCCTTATCCATGTAAAATTTATGCAATTAATATTTCATGTTACGGCCAGTGTTCATCAAGCCGGTTTTTACGAAACTTTTGTTTAAGGACAGAAAGCACAGAATGATTTTTATTAGAGTACGATTAGGCTGTACAAGACACTGCGATAAGGACAGGAATGGCTCAATAATATCATAAATTATTGATCGTCACGAATCCACTTTTATTACCATACATACATAATATCGACTTTTAGATAAGTAAGAATATTTAAATTTAGCAGCCAACAATATTAAAAGATATTTATGTAAATCTAACGGTAAGATGTGTAATCTTTTATAATTTGATTATTTCTTAAATTTTTAAAGGGTGTTAATAAAGTCCGATCCCATGCATTTTTTGGAGCGTGGTTGTTACAAATTCAGCTGGAACTTTTGAACCAGTGAAGTTATTTATTTCAAATTTTTACCATGGGAGGAACAACTAAACGTGTAAGTCATGAGCATCTTAGAGTTGAGATACAAACATTGCATCAGCAGGGGCTTAAACCTACAGAAATTGTGCAAAAATTGGGCTGCAGCCGCAGAACTGTTTGGAAATGGAAGAATAAAAATTTTGTCCACGACAAAAAGCGACCAGGGCGACCCAGAAAGGTGTCACCTACCACAAAAAGAATGATTAAAAACAGACTTTGCAAGAAAACCGGTAGTTCATTACGTAATTGAGCAAGGGAGTTAAATGACTCAAAACGCTATAAAGAGAAGAAGAAGCAAATTAACTGTGTGACCGTGCAAAAATTTGTGAAAACTACGAAGTGGGGTCACACAGCTTACAAACTAACCAAAAAAACCTCTCATGTCACAAAAATATATCGATGACCGTCTGAAATTTGAAGAACTCCTTCAGAAAAGTGCCCATTTGAGTGAAAAAAGACTTGGTGAAGAATTGCGCAGTCACATCCTTTGGACTGACGAATCTATTATTGAACTATATCCAAAATTGAACCAACAAAATGTTCGTTACAGGACAGAAAACAAATCGGATGTACCATCAAGAGCGATCCCAAAATTCGGGCTTAAAGTTATGGTAGCGGGTGGATTTTGTGCACGTTGCGTGACCCCTCTACATATCATACCAAAAGGCAAATCAGTCAATGCAAAGCATTATATGGAAAAAATATTACCTATCTATTTCGATAGCATGGGGAACAAGGAAATATTTCCGAATGAAAGAAAAATAGTTTTCATGCAGGATGGTGCTATAGCCCATACAGCAAAAGCGAGTTTGAGTCTCATCAAGACGCAAGTTTCAACGGTCTGGAGCAAGGGGGTGTGGGCCGCTAACGGCCCAGATTTGAATCCCCTGAAGAACCATAGGTCCATACTTAAGGAAAATGTATACAAAGAGCCACAACCCCGGACGAGGGAAGAGCTAGTAAAAAAAAGTTCAAGATGTATGGAATTCGATTTCCAGAGGCACATTGGAAAAATTAGCACAGAGCCTTAAACAAAGAGTTGAGGGCATGGTTAAAGTAAATGGTAACAAGACCAAATACTAAGGTAAATATGTCGAACATTTTTTGTAAGTATCACGGGTAGTTTTTTTTTATACTAGCCTTCACTTTTTTACAGGAAAAATGGGATCGGACTTTATTAACACCCTGTATAAATAGAATTTAGGCCACATTTTTTTCATGCATAATCCCGAATTTCATAATCGCATTAAATACTTGGGAAAGAAACATGGCAAAGTTACGAAGATAAAATAGCTCAGCGACGTCCATCTATTCATGAAGTTGACGTGAATATGTACCAGCACCTGTACATACATACACCCTGTATGTATATACGTTTAAAGGTCTCGCTACAATGAAAACTTTTTTAAAGTAAGAAACCCCTAAAAATGTCAATTATCTAGTAACGAGTACTTGAGATTGAGACTTTTATTATTTATTATCACAATTGATGGAACAATGCTGACAAAATTCTTAAAATTTTGAATTTCAGAGACAAAATTTCGGAAACTAAAGGCGATTTGTGAATTATATGCGTTTAAAATAATTTTCAATTTCTAGCGAGACATTTACACAAACCACCATGTATATATGTATGTTATACGTGTTAACAGCATAACGAACGATGGGGATTATACATACGTATTTATATCTACGTAAAATGTTTAAATGTGTAAATAAATCTTTAGAAAAATATCAGTCTAAAATTCGAAGAACTGTGTAACCGTGACAAATATATATATAAATAAAAATACAAATAAATACAAATATATATAAATACATTTCAAGCTTCTCTACCCACATTGGTCTCTTGCTGATGCTGCATATTTGTCGACTTGTCATACAATTAACTTCCAGCACAATGAAGCCCAAAACATTTCTTTATCTTAATCTGTTTTATCTGTACCGAGAAAATGACGCATTCGTGCGTATGTCCATACGTACATACATATACATAAATATATTTGTATACTCAGTTCACTTTGCGCTTATTTATGTTTCCTCGCGTATGTAAAGGGTATGTATGTACGGATGTATTGTACTGAAGGTCTTTCAGTTAAAGATGATAGATATTACCAGTAAAAACTAATTTTATTTATTACTAGCAACCCATGCAAAATAATGTTTAGATACATAAAATAAGATTTAATGCTGAGTATTTAAAAGCAAATACAATTCTGCGACTGGACAAATTACGGGGGTTTACTGTTTCATTATTTGTACCGAAATAAATAAGAAAATGTCTACTCGTTGGATAAGCGAAGTTCTCAAGGTTAAACCCTGGTAATTTTTACACTTGGTAAAACTATTTTGCATGCGTTTTCAAAAGATAAAAGGTGTTCACTTATTTGCAAAAATTAAGGATAACTTTTGCAAAGTGTGTAAAGTTTAAACCGTGAAAAACTTCTGAGCCAGTAGTTTAATTTTTTGAAATTCTGCATAACAAAATATGTATATATGCAACTCATTCATTTCAATTTTCATACCTACCAAAATCTAATTTAAGGTAAATAGGCTCTGACTTACAAAAGTACATTTGTACACAAATAAAACCTATTTTTACATAACAAGTCTTCGATTCAAAATCAAAAATCGGGTTTAAACGGTTTTACAAAATCGGAAGATCCTTCTTCACACTTCGAAATACAAAGCCTCCAGTAGCATAAATAGATTAGAAGTGAAAATAATTACACTTGATCTGCCAAAAAACTTAAAGCATTGACAAAATGCGTGCCCTACAAAAAAACATGATATGAACGACGGCCTAAATATTTATGTTTGTACATCTTGAAATCCTTAATCTCTTCCCAATTCTGATGAATTTTATGACGCATGAAAAATATCTAAACCAAGCTTGGAATCTGACTCATCAGATTCTAAATGTTACACTCACACACAAATTGTCACGCACAATTGATGTGCCTAAATACTAAATACACACTGGACAGGAAATCTGAGACACGAGTCCAGCCAAGGATTTTACTCTGGCCCGAACGAAATAATCGTCACTTCATTTCTACCCGTCTTCCGAGATCTGTCTCACATTTACATAAATATTCTTCCATTCTTACATATCCTCAAGTCAACTGAATATCAAGTCCAAATTTTCCCTCTCAATTACTTATCATGTCTTCTCACCCCCCAAAATCGTCCCCTTTCCTCACACGGTCAACGATGGTCACAATCTTCATCATCCTGCTCGTCTCCGTTGTGCAAAATTCTGGTGCAATTTCCTCCTCTACAATTCGAATCCAAGCAAAAACGGAGAAAGGTTCGGAAGAAAAATTCGTTGAATACGACCCCACGAAATGCAATCCTTCCATTCCGAACGCTCCAGACGGTCGATTCCGTTACATTCAGACGAATGGAAATTGTGCAAATGTGTATGAAGAAAAAAACTGTTCGGGATTTTTTGCCCGACTGGAATCAGCAGAAGTGGCGTTTTCAGTATTCTCGCCAGATACAAGTCTCTGGTGGGGGAATAATTTTGTGGAAACAACGTTCAAGGTCAAGTCCGTGGGGCCGTGTTGGGAGAAATGTGACGGGAGAAACTGGGATAATGTGGACTATGCAAATTACAACGTTACGGTGGGACTGGGTGATAAAGGTATGGAAAGATTTACTTGTTTAGTGCGACGCATATCTTTTAGGGTGCGTTAAAAATGCATTACTCCGCTGAGATTTTATTGCATAACTTAATAAATTTGAACTATTAAACTTTTTCAATTTGTTAATATTGTTAGTCTCATGTAAAACTAATTAAGTAGTTACGAGTATGTAATTTAGTAAGTATTTAATTTGCCAATATTTTTTTCGTCCAAATTTCTTAAGTGATTTTTAGGACTTCATAATTTGCCAAATCTTCATGTCCAATTATTTTTTTTTCCGGAATTTCGCAATTCATTTTCAAGACCTCGTAATTTTAAAAATTTGCTAATTTTCTTCATGCCCAAATTTGCCACTTTTTTTCTCGTCTAAATTTCCCAACTGCTTTTTAAGGCTTTGGAATTTCTAGAAATTTGCAAAAAATTTAACTTGAATTTCGAAACATTTTCAAATTACGTATGTACATATTTAGGGTTTAATTGATTGTCTTTTTTCAAGTCACTGGAAATCAGACCATGCTCGACGTTAGTTCGGACGCTTGTATTTCAATTCCGGTCCAAAGGGAAAATTTGGATTGGATTAAGATTTATGAAAATCAATCCTCCTGCATCGAGCTACACGACGAGGTGAACTGTTCCGGCAAATCGGTCATTCTACGACCCGGGTATCCTGACCTGCATCACTTGGCCGTCTGGACGCGGAAGGCGAAATCCATTTCAAGGTGTGGCGCCTTTTGCAACAAGTTGACCCCGGAGGTCAACCCAATTCCATTAGGAGACGAGCTGAGGGACAACATGGTCACTGTTTTTGACCATCCGGGCCTGTACGGTATGTGATTCGTAGTTAAGCAACTCGCGTAATTCTTGATAACATTATACATAAAATCCGTAAATTCTGTACACTTACATACATACAAAGTTTTACAAAATTTTGAAAATATTTCTAAAGAAAAATTAGGTCACAAGTTTTTTCAACTTATCCTTAATCAGATCAAGGACGTCTTTTTATCTTGTAAGACATGTAAACTCTGTAAACTTACAAACTTTAATGCATGGATCAAATCCAATTCCTGAAACATTTCATACAGGGAATAAGTTTGCCAAGTATATAATCGTGCTAAACAAAAACATGCCCGGTTGCTTGGTAAACTTGCGAAAAGGTTGGCAAAATTTACCAAATATTAGCACTTAATCTCTATGCAAATTATGTTGACTTGAGTACACCCAATAATTTCCAACTTTCCGATTCTGCATTTGGGTATATAACATATGCAAGAAAATAAAACTTTGTGGATATTAAAGTACATAATTCTTAAACTTGCGAATACAAGATCTTAAATTCCTTTTTTGCTACATGTGTCTCAGGTACTGCGATTAATCTCAACCTGACCGAAGGCTGTACCACCCTTGACCAGGATATTCCCCACTTTTCCATCCAAACTTATGGCCAATGTGTCGTCCTCTTCGACCACCCCCACTGCACCGACCGGCCGGGCTATTCGTACCAAACGGGCCGAAAAGAGGGGGAATACTACGTGCAAAAACAGGTAATGGGCATCTACCCCAAAGTCCTGCGATCCATTCGACTCTGTGGAGATGACGAAGAGGCAGAAATTTACCTAGTTTTCGGAGCCAATGTTTCCCAAGTGTTCGTCTGGAAAATGACCTCACTTGCCCTCTTCGTCGTCCTGGTGGTCGTGTTGGCCGGAGTGGTGTTTGTTTTCCTGTCCTGCAAGAGGGTGACAATCCGTGATGACTCACGTTACGAAGAACAGTCCAGTGTTACTTATGCGACTGAATCGCAATTTTAAATGATTTGCGAATTTTTTTTGCATAAAATAAATTATTTTTGATAGATAATTAACTTTCACTTCTTGTATGCACATAAATATATTTTTTGCCCTGGTTAAAGAGTTTAAATTCTAAATAATTTGCACAAAATTTTTATGAATTCTAGCCTGACTTCATAAGTGTGCATAAATAATGTACATACATAAATATATCTTTCTGTATTAGTTAAAAGGTTAACAATATTATGCAAATTCGTCCTATTTTACATATATTTATAAATATACTTATGCTAACTTTAAAAATGATGTTACCCATTGAAAAGTAAATTAACTCTGAGTTTAATATTATGTAAATACAAAGCGTTGGCTTGAGTAAAGTTTAGGTATTTCACTGACTAGAATAATTTAAAAAAAGACATTCATAACTCTCATTACATTTTTATAAATATTCCGAAAATAAAATTATTGGAAAATATGCATGTATCGAATTTTATATGCTTGTTCAATTGAATTTAAGTATGTTATGTAAATACATTCTTTGAAAAAATAATTTAAAAAATGTGATGTAAGTCATTTCATTGCAATTTTATTTATCACGAAGCCGCACCATTGCGAACGGTACACTTTTAAAGATATAGAATTGCCTTCTTAAAATGCAAATGCACCCTCAACTCTAATTAGAATAAATGAAAACCTTGAATTTGACCGACATCTCATAACTTTCTCCGGAAATAAATCAATGCAACCAACGCAATTATCTTCTTATATTATAAGCTGGAAATGTTTGTCTGCCACGGAAGTGAAAGTAATTTTCCGTGACGGAAGTAAAAGTGAAGAAAGTTTTACTTCCTTGCCAATAGACGTTTCCAGCCAATAATATAGACACATACATATAATTTAAAAAATAATTCGGTGTAATTATGAACAAGCTCACTAAATTCTCACTAAAATAAATGAAGCCCATCGACCGGCGGGAGACGGGCTTATTCGCTAGTGTTTAATAAATTAAACAAAAACAAGGGTGCATCCATATATTACGTCATCAAAGAAGTGGGTGAGTGGATTTGGCCTTATTTTATTACTCGCGTTAAGCTTAGCACTAGGACATATAGAAGGGATCAGTGCGTATTCTAAAAAAAAAAACTTTCTGATGACATAATACATGAACGTCCCCCAACGCGGCTTTAAAATATTAACTTTTCGAGAAACGAATATTTATTACATTTTAAACATTTCAATGCAATTACTTGCCAGAAAAATAGAGAAAAAATGCTTTATTTCTTGCAAAAAGCGTCCATCCCGGTTATCTTGCACATCCCGGAATTGAACCCGTTCACCATGTCGGTCTTAATCTGGGCGCTCATCAGCGCCATCTTCTTGTCCGCGATGTCGCACTCGTTCTGATTCTTGGTGACGAGGCACATCGTCTGGTGCTGGATGTAGTGCGGAAGTTCGCGCTGGATCGTCCCCTTCTCCACGAATTTGTCATAAAAGTTAGAAACTTTTCGAAGGCTGGGTGGATTCGCGGGAGGGGCGCGGTACACGTTGTCACCCATGTCGTTCAAGATTCTGAATTTTTTGCTAAATCTGCAAATCTGCGAAAATCTGCAAATTAAATATGTATAATGAAAATTAATTAATATTCTGATATTTTTTAGGCCTATTCACGCCATCCTTCGTAAGTTCGTAACAATGCAAATGTACGAAGATCATCAAACCCTTATCAACGGCTTATCAACCAAAATCATGCATTATATCTTCGTATGGTTTTGTAATTTTTTAAGCAAAAAATTGTCTTCGAGATATTCACAAGTCTCGTTAAAAGTTCGAAGTTTGCTAAGTTTGCAAAGTTATGGAGTTACGCAGGCTGACCTGAATTGCCTCAGTACTTGAAATAACTATAATAATGCGAAAAATGTATTCACATCGACTATTTGGTATGGAAAATTTTAATAATCCGGTAACAATATCACTACCAGACGGTGATCATAAGTGAGTATCAATAAACCGTAGTAACGTTAGAAGTAGCTCACCCTGTAATAATGATTTGGTTATAACTTGCCCCAAAGGTGCAGAAAAATGCAACAAAATAGATACATAATTTTTTGCAATTATGCACCAATGGTGCAGAAAAATCCAACAAAGTGGATCAATAATTTTTATGCAATGTTGCACCAATGCTGGTGCAGAAAAATTAAACAAAATAGATCAATAATTATTATGCATCGAGAAGAGTCCAAAAATTGTGCATCACTGATGCAGAATTACCTACCAACGATCAACGATAATTTTGAATTCCGCTCTTTTTCATTCATAGATTCAATTTTTTTTAAATCTCATTTTGCCCCGACCACACCCCCTCGGTGGGAAGGGGTGTGGCACAACTCGGGAAGACTTAATTTCACTCTATTTCATCTATAAATCAAATTTCACTAAAAATCTCATTTTGCCCCGACCACACCCCCTGGCGCCAAGGGGGGTGGTCCCAGTGGCCCCAAAAGTTGATAGGATCCTCCCCTTGGGGTCATAAGTATAATGTCGAAAACCGATTTCGATTATCTTGATCCGTTCTCTCGTTATCCTGCTGGCGGACAGACGGACAAAGTCTTCGCATAAAGTAGCTGAAGCTACTTAACAAACTCAATCACTACGCCCACGTAGCTTCCGATGGAGTCAGTTCTTCCTTATCCAGTCAAGGATCAAATTAATTCCTATGGATGCTCAGGTACATATACATAGGTACATGTAGGCACTGCTTATGTAAATATTCCCTAAGCACACAATCTGCCTATGATATTAATCAGAACCCGGAATTTTTAATTATGATACGCTAAAGTCCCGTAAACTAGAGGAAACTACGCAGTAAAACTTACCACTAAATATTTATGTATACATACATTATATGTAATAGATTGTTTCATGCTTGTAGATAAAGGACGTGCCTTCCTTTCGATCAATTTACACTATATCATCCCACCTCTAAACTCGATCACATACTTTACGCTTGACCCTTCTCTCCCCAGATTTTCACACCAGGGACAAACCACTAATTAAAATTTCCTAGTTATGTAGTCACGTACCTGGAATTTTCTACTCCCATTTCATCTTCACCCATCCAACAAAATGTTCCACTCCGAGTTTCTTCCCATGTTGGAAAGGCATCTCAAATTTTGCCAGATTTTGAAATGTGTCCCGTACGAGTTTGATTCCAAAAAGGGACATCTTTTGATGTACCGGATTCAGTGCGTTCTTTCCTTTCTATACGTATCCGCAATGTTTCTCAATATTTGTGTTGGTCCCCTAACGACCAAACAAAGGTTTCAAGGTGGTGCCCTTTTTCTCGTGTACTTCCTCGCGGCAGTATTGAACTGGAATTACTCGTTGGATATGGCGCTGATTCAAGTGATTCATACCTTCTTGGATTTCGAAAAGTATATAATAAAGGGTGAGATTTAAATTTCTTTAAGGGAACGTTCACATATTCCGTCATCAAAAATGTATATTTTTTTTTACCACTTACCCCTTCCCTTGGTTCATAAGCTTAAAAACGGCAAGATAGGTGACCCATTGCCCACTCGCCTTTTGATGACGTAATATATGTATGGACGTTCCTTCATTGGGCAAATATTGCTGCATCTTACCCGATTAAGATTTGGTGTCTCGTATCTTTTCGACACACTCTTAGTAAACTGATACTGAATTATTACAGATAGGAGGGTAAATTTGACTTTTCGGACAAGGTAATAACAGGCATTACCGTATAGTAGTGAAGTATACAGTTGTGGTAGTAAAAATTTACGACTAATTGTCAGAAACAAGCTATTACCAACCGGGGAGGAAATTATTTCCAAATCTATACCAGTGCGGATTGACTTCATCACATCTTTAACAGTTTATGTATGTATCTATATTTCCCAGATTCCCCGAAACTACCGCCCTCTCTAGGCGCGAAAATAATGAAGCTATTCATCCAAGTTGCGGAACACTCTACCCCAATGGTGCCCCTGCTACAGTTGATCTTGTTGCAATTCGTCCCCTGTATGCCGCCCTTCATCTTTTCAATGTTTCCAAACTGCAAGGAAGTGAAATCAAAGACTAATTGGATTCTTGGGCACACACGTGTTCGAGAGCTGTATGGGTCTCAATATGGTGCTCGGTTGTACGGTGTACATATTCTACTTGCTGTGTGCCGGCGTAATCTGCATCTTGTTCTACTTCAGAATCATTCAAAGGTATGTAAGTTTAAATTGGGTAAAAATTTGAACGACTTTCTTGCCGAAGTTTGGCTGGATTTTGTTATTATCTAAGCAGAAATTACAGAGCCTAATCTCATAACCTTTTTCCCAGAACATAAACCGAACGAGCAATTGCTATTTTCTGAGGGTCGTGCATGCAATCTTGATGAAAACTTAAAACTATTTTATAAAATCACTCTAGGAGAGAGAAACAACTGGCAGTTGAAAAAAAATTTAAAATTTAAGTTTTTCACCTTATAAATTCAAAAAACTCCGAAAAAATGTACTTTTGGGAATCCAAAAATAATTTCCTGTGGCGAAACACACTCGACTGTGTTTGCCTTAATTATTTGCACATTTTGGATGTGTAAATCAAAACTTTAGATAAATTGTGAAATTAGTGGTTGACCCTCTACATAAGCTGGATTGAGTAAAATATGAACTGTCCGGATGAGTAAGAAACCCCTTGCCTCCAGACAAGAGAGTGAAGAAAGCCGCGAGCTCGGCCTCATCCGCACAGTTCATAATTTACTCAATCCAGCTTATGTAGAGGGTCAACCACTAATTTCACAATTTATCTAAAGTTTTGATTTACACATCCAAAATGTGCAAATAATTAAGGCAAACACAGTCGAGTGTGTTTCGCCACAGGAAATTATTTTTGGATCCCCAAAAGTACATTTTTTCGGAGTTTTTTTGAATTTTTAGGATGAAAAACTTAAATTTTAAATTTTTTTTCAACTGCCAGTTGTTTCTCTCCCCTAGAGTGATTTTATAAAATAGTTT